TACCACCATAATAATTCGATGTTCGCTGTCGCTGCATCTTCACGTTTCTTCCAATCGAATGTGTCAACAAATCAAATTCACTGTCATCCGATCATTCTTCCTTGATATTTTACTCTTGCTCTATTTCGTCTGCAATGTTGCCTAGCTTAGTCGTTAGTTACACGACCATTCGAAGTATCTTTTGTTTGGATGCATATCCATAACCAATGCAAGTCTATTTGCAAAAGTTGAAACAAAAAATGAATAGAATGTGAAATCTGACAGTTCAGTTTTTCTTTGCTAATGAACAAAATTATACTGAAAAAAATCTGAATTCCAAGTGAATTTGAAGAGTTTGCGAAAAGTTGATAAATCAAGTATAAATTTACATTGGAAATATCTTAATTAAAATAGAATTCAGACTGAAAAATAGCACAACACTCATAATACTCTACGAAAGTTGCTGAATAATTGTTGAACGAAATGGAAGTTTTATTGAATCTATGTGAAAATAAGTCACTTTCAAAAGAATATTTGGCTGAAGTGGAGAAAATTCTTTTTATTTCTTTTGAAAAGGTTGAGTTTAAAATTTCAAGCACATATTTTGGTTACTCACTTCATTGATCGAATACCACGTCAGTTGTGTGCTATGGTGTTTATGTGTAGGTGTGACTTGCAACGATTCATAGTCTACAAATGTGACAGCTTCGAATTTGATCACTCCCTTCATTCCAAATGTGCAACTATCAATCCGACTGGAATTCACATTTGCATTTCACAAATAAAGATCGGAGAATTGATTTTTTTCTTCAAAATATTCAAAGTAATCCTGTTTATTCAAGAAAAATACATAGGTCTGCTATTTGTAATATTCAAAATCGAAAAGCGAACGTAAAATCTAAAAAAAAAACAACTGAAAATTGAGCTTGATATGAAATGAATAAAGAAAAACGAAATGACCCTAATCACGAATTAAAGCTGGAGTAGCTTTGCGTGGCCGACCTCGTGGATTCTTCTTTGGAGAAACACTTGCGGTTTTTTCCAGCAAATCCATCGGTGGTTCCAGAAGAGCAAGTTTGTACGCCAGGTGAACAATGTGTTTGCAAATGTAGTCATGGCCAAAAGCGGGACAGGTACAAACTGATTGTTTCCATTCCGAGCGGTTGATTTGGATGCGGTGCATTTGGAATGCATTTTGAGCGAATTCTTTGAAATTTTTCCATTTTTGTTCACTGAATTTCAGAACATCGGCGGATGTCACTTTGCCAGGTCGTTCACCGGAAAAGACGAAGAATTCCGTATCATTTTTGTGAAGTATGGTTTGGCGTACCGATGACCTTTCATTCGGAGTTCATCGGTGAGAACTGCTTCGGTTTGAGGTGGCGGGTTGGTAATGTAATATTTCGAACGATCTCGTACGTAGCCGATGGCATCACCCAGGTAGGCCGACAGAGTTTTCCGTTCGTAGTTCGTTTGCGTCTGCTTCATAGACTTGTTGAAGTTTTCCGTAGCGTTGTTTGTGCCTGGAACGCCCGCATTTGACGCTTCTTTCGATGCTCCGAAGTACCAATTTGGCAAATTTTTGAGGTATTGTTCTTGAAAGTAGGCCAAAAAATCCTTTTCCTTCTTTTGCCATTTCTTCAGAAATAACTTTGCGCCAGCATCGAACGTTGCCTGGTCATAGCTGTGACGTAGTGTGCGGATGTCATCTTTGATGTCGGCCTTATTTTCACCTTTGTTGAATGATCTTTTTTCAACATTAGCCATAACATGATAGAAGCACATCATGCGCACGACGTTTTCCTCGAACGATAGCTGCACCGCTCGTGAAATGGCAGCAGCACCATCACCCATTACAGCCTTTGGACGAAGTTCCTTGTCTGTCGCCTTACTGACACCGAGTTTCAACGAATCGAACAGGAACTTGTAATCGTTGGTGCTCTCTCCGGAACACACTCCGATGCCGGCCAAGTGAAATTTTTTCGCCATATCCGTTATGCCAATGACAAGGATTGGAAAACCGTGAATCAACTGTTTGTATGTGCCGTCACAATGTAAGGTATTGCACAATGTTGCATGCGTGAGCAGGTGCTTGGTTGAGTAGAAGATGCGGAAAAACTTTTGGTCATCGGGTGTAAGCAGAGGAGAAAACTCTGCACTCACAATGAAAGCGTCGTCCAAAGATTGTGGCACAGCTGAGTGAGCGTTCACGAAATCTTTCAAGTTGGCAATCGAAACATCTGGGTCGACGCTCGTCTTTTTCCGATAATATTGGATCACATTTTTCACTTGCTTTTCGTCTGGGATTGTTTGCAAATCTGGCCGATTGCGCAGAAGCATCATTATTGCTTGCAATTTGTTGCCAACGTTGTATTGATCGATAATAAACTGTTGAATGTCGTCCGGAACGCTTTTGTTGCGATTGGTCGATGTGCCGCATGAATGATCCAAACTCTTTCGGAATAGTTTGATCGATGGGTCATTCGGAATGCCACCATGCAACGTGTAGACACCCGCATTGCATTGTTTACCACGACGCTTCACATCGTTGCATCGGTACGTTGTTTTGACGCCTTTGTTTAAATGTTCAGTTTTCAATTTAGACCAGCAACCTTCAGTCTCCAAAAATGTGCTGAATTCATCTGCACTTCCGAAATCTTGCTGGAACAACCAAACAGATTTTGCTTCTGGCGGTTGGACTGGTGCGTTTTGGCCGTTGCGTGCAGCATCATTTGCCCCTGTTGGCGGATTGTTGACATTGTCATTTGCACCATTTTGATCAGTTCCAGCCACTGTAGTCGATTGTTGAACT